GGTAAGAGGAAAGAGGAAAAAAAAAAAAAAAAGACACAAGTGTTGGTTTTTGAAGGAGCCCACGTCATGGTTGAGGACTTGATATATCATGAGCCATTCATTGTCCATAAAAAAAAGAATTGGAAGAGCTCAAATTACGGTATAAAAATTGAAGGTAATTTGCTTTAATCTCTCTCTTTTTGCTCCTATACAATGTTTAAATTTTGGGTTTCCCTTAAGGGAGCTGATTTTCCCACTCCTCTTTTCTCCACTTATACTCCCTTTTGTTTTTTAATTTTTTTTAATCACTTTTGTTCACTTTTGTTCTTTCTCTTTCCTATTTTACCCTTACCTTACTTCACTTTCATATTATTTCTTTTATATATATTTAATTTTCCTACTTACACTTCATTTTTAATTAAAAAAAATTCAATGGATAGATGAATTCTTTAAAATTAATATATTACAAAACAAAAACAAAATATTTTCCCCAGCCCCAATAACCCCCTCTCTTCGTCAACCCCCTCCTCCTCCCATCTCTGCAATCTAGCCCCACCGCCTCACTACCACCCACACCATCCACCACTGCATTGCCTCCTAACCCCAACAACATCAATGGCTCGCTTTCCCTCGACTCCTTTTCTCTACCCCCATCTCTACAAATTCAAAAACCAAAATTTTATTTTTCATTTCGAGAAGCCAACTTTCACTTTTTCATCTCCGAAGCAACAGTCGAAATCATGCTTTATTCTCACCAAATTCTCAAAAGTCTCTGACTTATTGTCCTTCCTTGTAACATTTTTGCTAAGTGCTAACAAAGAGAAATTTCTAATGCTCGGGTCTGAAGCTTTTCGCTTCAAGTATGGAGCTTTACACTCTGTGATTCAGCTCAACCAATTAAAGTTTTTTACAACCTACCCCCATGCCGCACCCCACACAGCCACCCACCCACCCACCGATAGACATCGTTGCCCCAACGCAGCCACGCACAAACGATCTTACCGCCCCACTGATAGCCACACTCAAACCCCAAAACTTTAAAAAAAAACATGGATGGTTGTTGAAGAAAGAGGGGGAAAGAGAGAAAAAGAGGGAGAGAAAATGAGGAGGGGTGGGCTTGGTTGTTATTGAATAAAGAGGGGAAAGAGGGGTAGAGAGAAGACGGAAGGGTGGGTGCGCAAGGGAGAAGAGAAACAGCGTGGCTAGGGTTTGGGATATTAATTTTTTTGGTTTAAAAATATTATTTTTAAAGAATTCTTTATTATTATTTTTTCACGAATTCTTTATTATTATTTTTTCACGCATCAACACCAAATTGGGTATCTCACTTGCCACGTCATCAAGGGTAAAATAGAAAAGAGAAAGAATAAAAGTGAACAAAAGTGATTAAAAAATATTAAAAAACAAAAGAGAGTGTAAGTGGAGAAAAGGGGAGTGGAAAATCAGCTCCCTCCCTTAATTGTATTCATCATTTTAGGAGGTGCACAGTTCATTCCGTGATCTTGCTGATAGAATGATTGAGGAGAAGGACAAATAAATTTCTAGACCTGTAGATAGGATAATAAGAATCTTCATCAACCATTGGACTCAAGACCACTGAGTATGTTCCTTTTTCTTAAGTGACATCTAAAATCCTTACACTTCAATTTTTTGATTTTTTTTTTTCTTTCCGTATTTGTAATCCATTGTCCTGACTTTGTGGTGTATAACCTCATATTGATCATAACGATAATTATAACACAAGTAGGAGGATCCTGAGTACAATTTCTTATTATCTGTTCCAGTTAGATTAAGGAATTTTATAAGGTGTTGTTAGACGAACCCTAAAATTAACTGAGTACACCTATTATCTAAATACACTCTAATATTTAACTATAAAAAAATTCCCCTTATACATCCTAATACACTCTATCACACAACATCACAAATTTACTCAGCAATTACAACAAGAAGGAAGAAAAAAAAAAAAAAAAAATTCATGACCATGTTCGCATGATCAAATGAATAACCTCAAAAGCTTTGTTGTTCCCTTCAAATTATTACCACTACAATGATATGCCGTTGTAGTCGAACATGATGATCATAAACGCAATTGTGGTCGTCGTCATGAGTGACGTACTCAGGAAGTGGCTCCAGCGCGTCGCCGTGTAGAATAGTCTCTACCGCCGCCTGGCACACGTCCCACTTCCCACTCAAGAAGCCTCGTCGCTCCAATCACCGAATTTATAATCCGCCCTACCATCTAAAAAAACGATGACTAAAATAAAGATATTAAAAACCAAAACCTAATTAGCATAAGCAATTATTTAGATAACTATAAAGAAACCCATTTTTGGCTATAGAATCATAGAGAAACCCTTCATGAAACTGACTTTATAAATACACCATATCCTATATGAAATAGACTTTATAAATACACCTTATTATTGCCAGCTATCTTTTTTTTGGTTTATTTAATATCTGATTTCCGGGTTTACCCTTTGGTGTTGAATTCATATTTAAAAAATCTGGCGCGTCTCTCCCCCCGACTCTCTGTCTGTCTCGTCTCTCTCCCTTCGCTGAAACCAGGCCGGCCAGTTTTGGCCAGCGATCTTGGTGCTCGGGCCACGACTAGAGGCGTGACTGGTCTGAAAATGACCAGAGGAGGCTGGCGAACCACGCCTGAGCCCAACCTCCCTGCGCCATTGCGAGCTCCAAGAACCTTCGAGGGTTTCGAGTTTTGCAATGCCTTTTTCGGCGGCTCCGACGATCGTTGTCGTCAATCCAAGTATGGATTTCGATCCTCTCCTCATGCTTTTGTTAATAGTATAGTTATTTGGGATCAATTTTAGCTTTTGAGAGTTTGATATAAACACCTATAGATTTTCTGTAGGTTTGGCTGTGATTAAGCCTTTTCCGACCACTTTTTGGCCAGGGTCCAAGAACAAAAAAGTTCCTCTACATGTGCTAGTTTTATGGTAGGGAGATTGATCGGTGGTTTCAAAAATTTTCAGTTGCCAAAATTTTCTCAAGACACCCACCATTGCGCGAGGCGGGTGGCCGCCCTTGGGCCACTATATGGTGGTCCATTGTGTTCTAAAATGATTTTCACGTCGTCCCAAGTACAATGGTATGCTCAAATTAGCGATAGGTTACTGTTTGACTATCGAACGAATATTGCGTATATTATGCGATATTGGGGTTTGATAGTTTCGGACCATTCGATAGTGCGATCGACATTGACCCGACCGCTAAGTCGAGACCAAACCTGTAGACTTGTTTAGTAGACTTTGTTGGAATTATTATGCAAATGAAATGATGTAGTTTTTAACTTCCAGTAAGTGGTATGAACACTTGTTATTAAATGCTCATACCCTGCAATTAAGTTGATTTCTATTACATAGTATTAACAGTGTACTTTTATGACATAGCATTAACAGATTTTCAGTAACAAAGCATGCTCTATATTTTGCTCTATATATAGCTGTGCACTTGAAGTTTATGATATGCAGAATGTGATTTTTACTAGGAAGATAGTTCTATGGCATAGTATTAACAATTTTTTTTTTCTTGTAAAGGTATTTCCTTTTGCCTTTGTGATTATTTTTTGTGAAACTATGGACAATTGGATATGGTTTCTGCAAAGAATATCTTATGTCTTGCAGGCTTTTTTGGGGTTTTTTTTTTTTAATAGTTTTTATTTTATTTTTATGAAATAGTATTAACAATGTATTTTTGTGACATGGTATTAACAATGTACTTTGGGCTTGTTGGGCTTGTTTTGGGATTTTTTTTGAGTTTTTTGTGTTGGGCTTGTTTTAAGTTAATTAGTGGAAGTCATGTAATTTATAGGAACTTCAACACTTATTTCTTATGTAGTAAATGGTTTTTGAGTATGTTTCTAAAGTGCATTCCATGTAGGGTTGGTTACAGTCTTATATTGTTTTTTAAGTTTATTTCCTGTTTGGTTACTTAGAAAATGGAGATACTTTGTTTTGCTTGAATCAAGCAGCTTGATGAAATTCAAGGAACAATAAACTTCATGTACTTGGTTACCCGATTTCAACGTATGTTTGAGGTTACTAAATTTAGTAGTTGTGTAAAACCAGGCCCTAAGCTCTAAAAGTCTATAAAAGGGGGGGGGGGTTGGTGAAGTAGGCTATATGACAAAAACCTACCTTTTAAATTTTAAGTTATTTAAAGGCATACAAGTACAAACACAAACAATTTTGTGGTTATAAATTAAAACTAGTAACAGCGGAATGTAAATAACACATGAGAATTGTTGACCCAGAAAACCCAACAAAAGGGAAAACTGGAGGCACCAAGCCAGGAGAGATCCAATCTACTCAATTAAGAAATACAAGAGAAAGGAAAGAAGACTAAGCCCGATCTATCACCTATATGCAACTACAATCCAATCTTTCAGCAAACACCTTTTCTTTATCTCTTAGCAGCAATTCTCTCAAGAGCACTAAGCTCAAGTTGCATGTAGTCTGATGTATGAAGTGAGTTATGATTTCACTGATTCATCTATCTCAATCACAGAGTATGATTGAGCTAGACAAATGAAACTTAAGTGTCGTGATGATTAAACTAGAAGCAATGAATCATGAAGCATATAGTTTAAATCAGAATAACACAAATGAAACAATAAAACATTCAGCCGAAATCTATATGAATATACTTGGAGAAAATTTATGTCTATGCAATCATACTCATACTCACAATTAGAATACATTAGCTGAACAAATAATAATGAACTCAAGCAATGAAAAACATTCAGCTGTAAAGAGTATAAATCAACTTAGGGAAGTGTTTATGTGTATGAAATCATCCACATAGCCCTTAAGTGTTCAAGAGTGGTTGAACCAATAAATGGGTTCTTGAATGGTCAGAGGCACATAAGAAGTCTTTCAAAAACCTTTGGAAACAATTATGTAGAGAATGTATATTTGTGATGCAGAATGGTGTCTATGAAATATGAGTGTACTATTCCGGCGATGGACCACCCTAGAATCGCTAGTCAAGACTTACACCAAAATGTTCATAATACTGAGTAGAACAACTTTAATGCTTACCTCAAGGTCCAATTCGAAGTGTAAGTGGCTCAAACCGCCGGTTGAAGTCGTTGATTTCACTATTGACGAACCAACTTCACGGCGTCACCGTGCCTTCACCGCACCTCTGATGGCCCCGATTCTTCCTGGGTTATGCTCACGAGATAACAGGCTTTTGATCTGGGTTGGTGGTGTCGATCACTGCCACCGTAAACCGCCACAGAAACAGCCGGAAATCGCCTCTCCGACGAGCTCTCTAACCTCTGGGTTGGATTTCAATTTCTGAAACCCCAACAGTGTCCATCTGTAATTTATAGACAAAGTCTCTGTTTTCAATTAAGTCCCTGAAACTTCAAACGAGCATAACTTCTTCGTTTCAACTCGGATTCACGAACCGTTTGCGCCTACGCGTTTGTGAGATCAATCTCGATTTTCCAATTCAAAAAATCATAATTTTCTCACTTCAATTTCTTGTACTTCCTTTAAAAAAATCATAAACTTAATCATAAGGGTATTTTTGTCCCAATTTGATTAAACTCATTTAATTCCAATATTTTCACATCAAACCAAAATCATACAACACCCAAAATAGTCACACGACTTAATAAGATTTTCCACAAAAATAATAAAATCAAATATTATTTTTGAGGTCATTACACATGTAATTCCAAATAAAAACCTTACAAACGGGGATGGGGATGATATTGTCATACCCGACCTGTTGCCATCCCTACTCTCCCCATTAATATTATCCTGTTAATATATGAGAAGTCAAAAGTCAAAGCAATCGGATACCAATATAATAAAGGAAATATTCTTGCCCTAAACCCCCTGGATCTGAAGCTGCACTCGGTGCTCTCTGCAGCTCCATTACCACCTCTCCTAAATTAGGAGAAGGTACCAATAAAAGAGAACTACGCTACAGATTTGATCACCTCAGTTCATCATTCTTAGCATGACCAAACTACAAAAAGTACCATGACGAAACACATAAAAACCCAAAATAGTTCTGTTATCCCCTTGGGCTTGGGGGCCTCCTTCAAAAAATCAAAAACTCCTACCCATTTGGAATTGTTAACATTAAGTGTAATCCCACTAATGTTGACGTTGACGACACGGCCGCTGCTTGTGCTGTAGTATATGTTAACATACACGGCAGCTGCCTGTAGCATGACATAACTACAAAAAACACAGACGATAACCATAAAAACTTTTAACCATTTGGAACAGAAAAGAACAGAAACAGGTGGTGGGCTGCGTAGCATATGTTGATGAATCTCATCCATTACCTCCTGACGTGCAAAAGTACCATATGTTGGGGCTTTTGCACGAGATTTGATGGCCAGATGACGCCTTTTGCACGAAACCAATCCACCATTTGAGTAGGTAGCCATTTTCTCAATAAATGCAACTATAGTGTCTCGCACACTCAATGATGACTGCCAGTTCGATAAGCTGATGATGGTTTCGGTATTGAAGCAACCATTTTTCGTCTAAGTGCAAGTAAAGCATTTCGCACGCTCCTTGGTGACTGCCAGTTCGATAATAGCCTTGAGCTGATGTCGGTATGGATTTTGAGGCGACCATTTTTCGTCAAAAACTTGATTGAAGGAGGCTTCGATGGGTATCCCTTCGAAAACTGGACCACCCCATGATAAATCCCACCCTCGAACTCAGTTCCACTAGGGCCTCTGATTGCAAATTGCCATTCATAATTCTTCCACCCCAGCTTGAGGCACGTGAACTCATTGGAGAGATTGGATTTAATGTAATCATACTCCTCTAGAATCCACTTCTCCCCTGAGTTCTTTATGTTGCACTTGTCCTCCACAACCACCTCTTCCTGTTAACAAAACTTTAAATATACAATTATTCTCAAAATACGAAGCGAAGAGATGAGGAAAGCTGGTGTCTGTTTAAAGGTAGGGCTAGTCATGCAGAGTAAATATGCTAAAAAGTTTTGCTTTCTTGGGGGATTTGTAGAGGTACTCATTCATAGAACCCAAAATTCCTACCCCGTCGGAATTGGTAGCATTAAATGCATTCCAACAACGTTGGCGACATAGCCGCCTGCGCCCTGCTGCTTTCTATTGGCTGCCTCAGTCAGCTGGGAGAAAAACTTCCCTGACAAGGCGATGTCAGGTCAACAATCCAGCTCATTATCCCAACTCTCTCTCTCTCTCCTCAGTAACACCTCTGCCACCCTCCTCCTTCAACTACTCTCTCACAAATCTAACAAATTGTTAAGGAAGACAAACTTGGATTGTAAAATTCCAAGCCTTTTTCACCCCTAAAAAGCACCCTAAGCTTTAAAAATAAAAACATATATATATCTTCTCCTTCAAACCCATGTAGCCCCTTCCCCAAAATCGCAGTTGTCTTTTTTCTGTTTTGTTCATTTTGATGGGTATTCATTGTTCGGCTTGGTTTCGTTTTCGTGGCTCTCTCGCTCATTTATCTAGATAATTCACCAACTATTGAAATTGGAAAAACACTTTACCAGCTTTGGAAGATAGACTAAAGAAAGATGGAAAATGCTAGACATATTACATTTATATTAGATTTTGTATTGGTGAGCTTCGCCTCTCTCAATGTAGTATATGAATGTGATAAGCCTGGACAGATAAATAAAAATAAATAAAGGGTTGCAGCAAGAGAGAACGGAGGAGAAGTTAAAATAATTGACAGGGGGATTGCTGACCTCACATCTCTGTGTCAGGGAAGTGTTTCTCGTCTCCCTTTGCAGATATTGATGATTCACATCCATTAACTTCTGACGTTCATAAGTGCCAAATATTGGGGCTCCTCCCCTAGATTTCTGGGCCAGACGACGCCTTTTTTTCTTGTTCTTGTGTTTTACTGAATCCGATTTAACATGTGGGCATTTGCGCATTAATTCAATAAGTTCAATAAAAGCATCTCGCATCCTCCATGATGGCTTCCAGTTTAATCTTACCTCGGTTTCGATATTGAAGGAACCATTTTTCGTCAAAAAGATGAATGAAGGTTCCTCCCATGGGGTTTCCTTCGGAAACAGGAGCCGCACATGATAAATCCCACCCTCGAATTCAGTTCCAGAAGGGCCTCTGAGTGCACCTTGCCATTCATATGAGTTCCAATCGAGCTTGCAGAACTTGAAATCCTTGGAGGGATTGGATTCAATCTCATCAAACTCCTTTAGAATCCGCTTCTCCGCTGGGTTCTCCATGTTGCACGTGTCCTCCGCTATCAACTCCGATCCAATTCCATTTGATTTTGTTCAATCTGTGTCGATCCGACTCAATCCACAACTCTTCCGTCCGGTCAACAAAAGGCAGGGCTCGTCATGCCCAGTAAATATGCAGACCTGGGTTGTTGCCGTTTCTTCAGAGCAAATTCAAAAGCTTGGATGGATTTGAAGTTCAAGGCTCTCACTACATACAGTGACTGAGAAGAAGAAGAAAGTTGTAACTGTTTGTGGTAGAGTGCACAGAAGTAAAAGAGGATAGGCAGAAAAGGAAATAATATTCATTCGTTGACTTGTGAAAAATAGACTTACACGGAGTAGCAAAACAGTAAAACAGTGTTATTAGAGCATCTCCAGGAGCGTCACTACTCCTTTATCCCTAGCTATTTTAGCGAAAAAGAAGGAAAAACAACCCTCCAGCAGCATCGCTACTTCGCTCGCCATTTTGGAGATCGCTATTTTGGCTCGCTACATGTAGCGAGGGGGAGAGAGAAATACAAGGCTCGCCAAATCTGAAAGCTGCGCAAGAGAGAGAGGGAAAGAGAGAGATAGAAAGAAAGAGGGAAAGAGTGAGGGAAGAAAAAGAAAGGTTCAGTGGTGGTGACCAGTGGGGTTGAAGAAGAAGAACCAGAGGATTGTGGTGTGGGGTTGAAGAAGAAGAACCCAAGTTCGAGCTCATTCGTTGAGCTGATTCTGTTGGAGGTTGACCAGATCTACCACCTCGCATGCCCTGCCTCCCCTGTTCATATTACAAGGTCAATCTGGTCCAGACAATTAGCTTTTGGGTTCTTTTTTATTTTTATTTTTTTTTATTTTAATGAATTTAAAATAATAAAATATTTGAGATCAGCTAAAATAGAGAGCATTTGAGGAACCACCTTTTAAGTGGTTAGCTATCTTTGCTAGAATTTAGGTAAAATTTAAGCTCTTATTAGTGTTCATTGAAGTGTTATTCAATTGCAACTAAATAAAGAGAGTAAGACAAGAGTTACAGCTCATTCCTAGCCCATGAAATATTACTTATTCTAATTAGATACTATTTCTAGAAGTTTCTCTGCACTGGGAAGAAATTATAATGGGTTGGCCGTGGGTAAGTGCAGCAAGTAGACTTTGAATAGAGCTTGGGCTTGTGTACAGTGTTAATCAATGATATTTCACTTTCACTTTCACACTTGTTACAGAGTAGTTATTCTATAGTGAGAGTCTTATATATGGCCCTTAAGTTATGTCATATCTCTTAATTATTGGATCAGGTTAACTAATTTGATTCAACGACTAATCAATTTGATCAAACGTTTAAGTAATAGGACATCATTTAAAGGCCACATATAAGATTCTCACTATAAAATTCTTGTTGTGGTGCATTAAACTTCTTGCTGTTCACTCACATTCAACAACAATTGCCCACGGTTGCATTATAATTTCCAAACACATTATTAATATCAATCAATTATAAACTCTAATCTAAATAACAATCAATCAATATTAATATCATATTAATAAATTCTAATTCTGAAAAAACACTATATATATCAATTTCATTAAAAATATAAATTCTACTCACTTGAAATTATGCAAGGCCGCGGCAACACAAGGGGTGATCAACGCGTGATATTAGTCCTATTTTGAAATTTTCATACTGATTTATGCATGTTCTCTATATAGTATACATTGCTTCATATTAGTACTTTGTGAAGCTTTTATTTTTTATTTTTTATAATTATAATTATATATAGAGAGAGAGAGAGCAAATGGAAAAGTCAAAGGTCGTTGGTTATTAATTATGAAAAGTTTTGTCGAGATTGTACTTAAGATAATAAAACCACGTGGAAAATTAGACACACAAGACAAAACACCCACAATTAATTAATGAAATCCATTCTGAACATCAACTTCATGAAGGCAGAAAAAGCAAACCTTATCATGACATAAGGTTTTTAACTACTTGAGTTGAGATACAACCCCCTTTTTATTTTTTAATACCAAAAACTCTATAGTTTTTTTTAAAAAAATTGAAAACTCTATAGTTTGATACGTGCGTGAGCTACTTTTTCTTAATGACATAAAACACGCGGTAGGGCTTAGCTGGACTTTAATTTTATCTACTTTTTCTTAATGACATAAAACACGCGGTAGGAGTGAGTATCTTCCGATGAGGAAAGACTCGGTGGTTTTTTTGGAAAAAGTTGGGAAAGTGGGATTTCTTTTCTCTCAAAGATCTGACCAAATCCATTAAATTTTGGAAAGAGGGTGTTCACAAAGTGGCTGTAATTAAGCGAAACAAACTAGCCCAAAGTCTCAAATATCTCCAAAGTAGAGAGATGGTAAAAAATCATCATCACACTGAGCATGGGTGCAAGTATTATTACTACTAGCCTCTCCGCACGCGCTTCCGCGCCTGCGAGAGGTTTTTTTTAAAAAAATAAATAAATTTATTTTAGAATTAAAAAAGATAATAGGTAGTTGTGTTCCATAAAAAGAGGATATATTATCTGATTTTTCTTTTAATTTTAAATTTTTTTAATATGAAAGTGTGAATTTACCATATTATCCTCATTTAATAAATAATTTCAATTCTTAATGTTTGTATTAACCAAGGGTATTTTCTGGTATTTTGAATGTTTCACCGTTCTCTGCCTTTGCTTTATATATATAGATAATAATAAACAAAACCCTAACCTAAACCCTATAATAAACAAAACTCAATCGTATTATTACTATTATCTGACTTCTCAAGCGTTAAGGGTGTTGACATATGGTTTTCACCTATGATGACTGTGGGGCTTATTCACATTAGGTCTTGGCCTCAACATTTTGAAGTCCACTGCTGGGGTCCGTTGAGAAGGCCTATAAGAGGCAGGGGCTGCTCAGCTCTTACAAAAGGCTCTCAAGCCTATTACAAGGTAGACAAAAAAAAAGTTTGTCAAACAGAAAAAGTAAAAAAAGAAGTATAAATCCAAAGGAAACGCAAGAAAATTGGTCGTTTTCTTTGTGGTTAGGTAACATATATACATTGTCTTGGAGCACAAGTAACAAAATCCTCTGGCGGCCCGGTCCAGGTCTATGTATTGTATTAAAATCCTCTCTCCTCTCATCGATTCAAAATCTTTCAATCCGTAGTCGTCTTCACAGATGAAGAAACCGGTGCAAGTGTAATTCAGTTCGGTTATGAAAGCATGCCGCAATATTTGTTCCCCTCCACAACTGAATATCAAAAGAGTAAGGTCTCCTGCTGCAACTCCAACTGCTCCAACGACAACTCTTATTGGTCCTCCAGATCTCACAAGATTAATCAACAAGGTCTTCCCCTCCTACGGAAACCCCTGCCTAGATGGCCTGGTCCACAAATATCTTAAGCAATTATTTTACTATAGAAAATAAAATAGTATTCATTCATCGACTTGACTGTTCCAAAAGAAGAACTATTGGTCAATAAATACTGCTACAGAATATTGATCCAGATAAGAGTGACAGCTAATTCCTAGCTCATGGAATATTACTTATTCTAATTCGATACTATTTCTAGGAGCTCCTCTGCATCGGTTCTGGGCTTGCTGCATGTTTTGCTTCAGGACTGAGGAGGTTAAGTAGTTGGTCACGGTCCTTGAGGGCCACATCTACTTGATGGACATATCAGTTGTCCCTGGAAATTTGAAGGAGGTGGGTATCCATATAAAGCTTGGAAGGTTGCCATGCGTATGCTGCTATGGAATGTGGTATTGTACCAAAATTCGGCCCAGGGTAACTAGCTGACCCAAGAATTGGGTTTATCACCAAATGAGTTACCAAGGAAATGTTCAACCGTGCGATTGACCACCTCAGTTTGGCTGTCCGTTTGAGGGTGGTAGGCCAAGCTTCAAAATCGCTTGGTCCCTTGCATTTTGAAGGCCTCCCAGAATTGGCTTAAGAAAATTGGGTCCTTGTTACTTGTGATACCGTTCGGCATGCCATGAGTGTTTGACAAATAAGTATGCTACCTTCACAGAGGAGTATGGGTGGGATAGAGGAATAAAATGCCCATATAATTCGGTTTAAGCAACTCTGCTGCAGAACAGCAGATTCTGGAAATTATATTTTCTCTCTAGATATCATGGCTGGTCATGCTAGAGAGAGATTTATTGTTGTGATCTCAAAATAAGACAACTGGATTGGATAAAATTAGAATGTCTAGGTGCTTCACTTTTGTAGTGATGAACTTCTTCATGGTATAATGGTGGTCTGAAGTGCTGATATTTATAATAACCAGGCTACTTGGGGGCTTTAAGATCTTATTATGAGTATACGGGTTATTATCATTGCAGATTTGTACACTGGCTTTTTCCTTTTCATGCTGTACATCCAGATGTGTTCATATGCTGGTTTAATATGAATTTCAGATTTTGGCAAGGCAACAAGCCCAAAGAGAGGAAGAACTAGCACAGTCACAGCGGCACATTTTAGCGCTTCAAGTGTGTAATCCCTCATCTTGATTACTACTGTTCTTTAGGTCAGTTCTGATACATGTGTTTTTGTTTCACTCAGGAGGAAATTGAGGAGCTGGAGCGTGAGAATCGGCTGCATAACCAACAGGTATCAAGAAGCCTGGATTTTGCAGATTTTACCCCTGTTCTTGTGGCTTGTTTGATTTCAGTTGCTTGGAAATTCCTTTTGAAAGTTGTAGTAAATAATAGAATGTGTATGAATTGAGCAGATCTGAAAATGAAATTGCTGATGAACTGGCAATGGTGTGGCATATATGCAGGAATCTATGTTGAAGGCTGAGCTTCGCAACATGGAAAGAATGCAGAAGAGGGAAGGAGTAGATATGACATACCTGAAAAATGTAATCTTAAAGCTTCTTGAAACAGGTATTTCTATTATAGACTGATGTAACAATCAAAGTCGTCAATTTTATATTCAATAGGTGACGTGGAATGTCTGATTGTTTTTATTACTCAAATAGGTGAAGTGGAGGCCCTATTACCTGTAGTTGGTATGCTTCTTCAATTTAGT